TCATCGGTCTGAAAAGTGAGGTGTGCTCTGATTGGCCAGCTATCCAGTGCATTGTGATTGGCCGAATACCTTAAGCTTGTGATGGAAATGTTACGCCCCTTACCATACTGTGATGCCCTGTGAGGCCTAGAGTGAGGAACGGCGGGTGGGCTTGAGAACGGTGCGGCCGGCGGATTCGCTTAACTTTTATAAAGAATATCTCTTTTGATTTGAGACTTTAGTCTTTGCAACTTTACAGATCTTCTTTATGCACCAAGAGCTTGTAACACTCCAAAGAGAAAGGAACAATTGAAATCGCATCATATGACCCCTTTAAAAACATGCCGAGTGCACTAAGTACCTTAAATATGCACACAACCATTATAAACATCTCAAATATAAACTCTGTCTGCCATAATACATGAAAAATGCAAACCGTAAAATTACTAGATTGTGAAATGAATGTCACAGTCTGCCCACGCCACACAAAGAGGTCAGGTTCTCATCAGCGTGTGTGACATTCAGAGATGCAGTTCAAGGGGATATGTCACACGTGTGGCATCGGCAGCGCTCGCATTTGCATAATAATGAAGATGTTCACCAACCTTGACAGGAGCCATTAACTTCCTCATGGCCCGCCTGGCACATGCACCTCCCAATGGGCACCAGCCACTCCCCCTCCGCGCTGCAATGCATTCTGGGAAGTTCATCAGCTACCGAGTTGTTGACGCAGGTCCCTGACACCTCCAGAAGCTGGGAGGAATCTGCCCCAGTTATAGTATCCGGGAAGAGGGCCAAATTCCTGACCACAAAAGGACACTTTTTGTAGAAGACACGGACAGACACGAGCGCGATGCACGCGCCCAGGTCTTGAAAAGCCAAGTAGAAGCCTTTCTTGGTCAATGGACCCAGATCCCGAACTTCCGTGTTCAGCTTCAAGACTCTGTCTCCAAGATCAAGCTCTGTGAAGCTCTCGTCGGCCGCGATGGTGTCGATCTTCGTGTATTGGCTTTCCCGAATATTTCTCCTCTCCTCGTCATTGGTTTCGTAATAGTAGACGTTGAAAGTCTCTTTGCACGTGCCCAGACCTCCGGGGAGACTGTTGCAGTCCCGTAGAGTGAACTTGAACTCCACGAACACTCTCTGGGCACCTTGGTTTAATATGAGATTCGTCTGCAACCAGTTGTTCTGGTTGTGCTCCATCACCTTACACACCTGGTACGTGTGGATGGGCGCGTAGTTCTCGTCCACCTCTCCGATTTCTTCCCACTATAAAAACAAAGAAACAAAGATAAAAAAATATATAATTTTAATTCATTTTGTTATGCCTTTTGTTTGAGAGGACATTTCAAGGCCGCATTCACACTGCAGTTCTTGATGCCCAATTCTGATTTGTTGATTATATACTTTTTTTTTTTTTTCTGACGACCAGCTTACATATTTTTTTAAAAGTGACCTCTATACGATATTTGCATTTGCACTATACACTTGGCGAAACAACCCAGGGTGGATGTACTGACATGTTGCCAGGTCTGGGAAATAAAACCAGCCTAATTGCTATTCAAAACTAGCTCAATCGCATTTTTCATGGTTTCCTCTCCTGTGGGGTTCCCTCTACGTCGAAATAGCAGGGTTAGATCACTTTAACCCACGGTGACAGTGTAAAAGTATCCCAATTCCGGGGGAAAACTGCAGACTTGGCAACACTGCCCAGAAAAATGCCCACCTGCGTTGACATCATTTGCTACCATCGCTTTTTCAATGACATACAACTCACATTCAAGGGAATATCCAATCTGTCCACTTACATGTTAGATGCTAATGCACATATTCAGATTTATTCATATCATATTTATCTCCACGCATCAAAGAGGACCACAAGTTGGGACTCAAACTGTAGTCAGTCAAATTGCTGTTCCACTATCTGTCGGAACACTTTCCATAAGGCCATGGCTCTGACAAAAACACTTCTGATTGAACCTCTGTGTAAAGAGTAGTGGTTCCCAGCCCTAGACCTGATGTACCCCCAACATTTTGTATGTTTCCCAAATCAAACTCTTCTGAATCTACTTATTAGCTCATTAGTAGAGACATCGTTTTCAACTAAAATCAGAAAACTTTTTATGCATTTTGGCCATTCATTTACACAATAATGGTATTTTGGGAGCCTGAAAATACAAACTTTTGGTTTTAAAGTGCAAGTTTTTGAAAACAATGCCGTTATTGTCTTTGTGTAAACTACAACAAAAAACATGAATTTGTGAAAACGGTGACATCATGCGCATGCATATCTTCTATAGGTTCGTGCACAGACGCGTAGATTTACTTTACAAAGTGAGATTGCCACCTACTGGCCTGGCATGAATATAAAAGTATCGTCTACACACAAAACTTTAAAAACTGAAAAACGTTTCCATTTTTAGTACAAACTGTAGCAAATTAGCTCATAAGGGAAATATGAATAACAGTGATCCTCTGGAAAGGTCCCTGCCCCACCCCCTTGTGGCTGCTGCTTGGTGACGTGTGAACAGTGGGCTCTCGCCCCCCACCCTCGCAGTTTCGGACTCTTGGCTGACGGGGTCTGGGCCTGCTTGCCAGGGGAAGTTCTGTTGTGAGAAGGGGGTAATTCTCAACATGCCACTAGGTCGTAAATGGATCTGGTGTCGGGGTTGCCATGGTAACCATGGTCCTGGGCCTTGTTCGCAGACAACTTGGCCCCAGTATGTTTATTGGGGGGAGGGTTTCTGTGAACGTTTGTTAATCTAATGAATAACTGATTTGTTAAATCAAATGAAAAATTGTGTTTTTGATTGGTCCAGACGCTACAAAACATTGTCATGTAATTGTACCCCAAGACCTGAAATGGGTGTGTCAGATAAGAGTAGTTTCGCGTAGCCAGACCTTCAGACTGACAGCAAAAGTTCTGGGAACCTTGGCTGCTTTGAATGGCCAAGGCCCACCCAAGAGGTCATACGACTGACAGGTAAAGCAACCAATCACGTTTCGTTTTGTGCTGCATGGAAATGTCCTCGCAAAAACGGACCGGTGGGTTAAACTCTTGGACATATTTAAAAAATGTCTATGCCACAAACTTTAAATATTTCACATACTTTTGAAAATGTAGTGTTTAGTTGATCCTGATAAGCGCTCAACGTCACAGTTGTAAACACGACGGCTTTCTTCTTCCATAACGGGGTTTGGCATCATGGCATCCAGGCAGAATGTTAAAGGACGCTACACACACAGTGTTTCCAATTGTGTGTGCAGTATGCATCAGATATTCAGCTAACGGTCCGTGGGTGTGACATCTGAGGCTGAGACTAGATAAAAATTACATTCAAAATGTCTACTGCTGGGAGTACTCCATGCAGGACCAGGGTTGGGAACCACCGTAGAAGTGGACAGTGGCCCCGTCCCAAATACAGGTCCACATTTAGGTGAAGTAATGACTGTCAGACAGTGCGTGCTTGGCAGAGGGGTGCATTGAGGGCACACTTTTATTATGCCCGCTAAGGGTTCGCTCGCCCATCTGAATCATGAAATGACAAATGCTACACCCTGCGGTCTAGTGGACTTCATGGACATGTCATTTGGGTCAAGAACAGTCTGAGAATTATATATTAAAATATGTTCAGTGGCTGATGCAATATTAGTGGAACTGGGTGTTTCTTCAACTACGAGCGCTTTTGATTGTCTACATCACACATCACATAAAGTTTTCCTCACACATAACATGTTTCATTCATCCTATCAAATAATTGTAATTTTCTAATAAAATGTTTATAATTTTATCAAATAATTACAGGCTGCATGGGTGAGCATAAGAGACTTATGTTTGAAAATGTTTTTTTTTCAGGAAAGGTCTTACTCTGAGACAAGTGTAAAACAATAAAATCTATACATATAAGACATGTTAATAGTAGAAAGTCTTGGTAGAGGAAAAACACACACACACACACACACACACACACAATCATAAACATTCTGCCAGTAAAATTCCATTAAACACTATCCGCATGTTGGGGAATGTTCTGCATGTGTATTGTAACATAATAGTACGACAACCCTTAAAGCACATTGTGGCACATTCACACTCCACAACTGCCACATCTAACAAAATATGCCTGTATGCTTTGCTGTCCACAGAGATGCTCAATAACAATACATCAGGTGGCAGAGTGATTGGAAAAACAATCTGCCAGCTATAATCTACGCAGTCAGGAAGCTTGTAACATGGCAGTTAACAAAGCAAGACCTCAGAATGCACCCCGAGGGCCCAAGCGGCCCTTCAGCGCTCTTCAAACACACAGTCAATGACCAGAGAGACCCTCCCGAGGCCTCATATTACCTCTGCCTGACGCTCTCTGAATGTGAGCGATTGTGAGCTGTGTGGACAGTAGAAGAACTGAAGTCTGGACCACGGGGAGTCATTCAGTGTGTGCTAACAGTCTGAGTCTTGCAGTTCACACACTGAAAATGCATTGCCTATATGACTTAAGGTGTAGTCACCCTGCACTTTTCATTCCAATGACTTTCCTGCATTCGCATGCATATGAATGAGAGCGGAAACGCAAGCTCATGCAAAGTTGTTTCGCATTTTGCTAAGCTCTAAAGTGCAGGACTGGTGAACTTTGACCTGTGAATTCGTATCATGTGAAACTGTGTGACCAATATAAGATCGATACATCACAGTGTGACCTCGTAGTTTAATTAAAAGAACAGTGAAGTGGCGTAGACTGTATGTTTGTACATTTTGGATTTATTATTATCTGTCATGTGTTTAATTTTTTAAAGAGAAACTGTTTTATGAACCATTCAACCTTTAGTCAAGTATGAATTCTCTGAAATATGTTCAAAGTCATTCTGCAACTAAATAACCTATGGATTGCTTCTTTTATTCATTGTGCCCACTAACATATAATATTGTCATACATTTTTTTATATACACTCTTTTGTATCTTTCATAAAATTCCAACATGAGTTTCAAAGTCGCAGCTTAAGCACATCTCATTTGAAAAACTGAACCATAAATGAATTTCCCTGTACCATTACCGCTCTCCCCTTTTCTCTTCCTCAAGTTCAACAATCAAAGACATTCACGGCACATTTTAATTTCATTCCAGTCAGCCAAATGTCCATATTACCATATGAATTTTACTCGAGGTGATCATATATAGCAAAGGGCCCCGTGGTGATGCAGAAAAGTGTGTGTCACAGATTTCTCCAATATGAGTCAGCCACGATCTGGTAAATTGCATTGGCAAAGCTGCAATTTAGGGAAAGCTGCCATTTGAAATAAAAATGGGCCTGTGCAAATTTGGATCATGCAGATATCCAAGGGCGTTTGGATATTCGTTTCAACCTCTCATGTGAAAATACATTACTAATACCAGGCACTCTGGGACGACAACATTTCTGACACATGGATGAAGATGAATAGATAATTCAAAAAGGCTTTCATTACAAACACCACATTGAGAAGGGATATTGCACGAGGATGGGTGTCACATCTGTGTAGTGATAACATGAATCATATCAAGCCAAAGATTGAAATGGCACACCTGGACATCAGCCTGGTATATCTGGTGCTAGTGCATGCTAATGCAGACCATTTATTAAAAATCTGAGGATCCATAACCCATTGTTTGTTACATACAGCATGAATCTGAAAATTAGTTCCTTGTGACTGATTTGGAATATACAAATAGCAAACCTCACACGAAGACTCAACTCATTGTTTTAGCACAGCAGCGTCTCTACTTCCTCCGCTCTGATGGACTCTCCCACTCCCCCCTCCCAAATACACACACACACTGTCACTTTAATCAGTCTAAATAAGCTCTTTTGCACTACAAATCATTATATCTGCACTGTTGTTTACTTCACTGGTTTGCACTCTATCTGCCATGTGCCTTGTGCTGCTTTATATATTTTTTTACATTTTACCTTATTTGTATATTTGTATAGTTGTATTTTATATTTAATCTGTATCTATCTGTATTTATGTTCTACTGTTAGTGTTATCTGTATGCACCAAGGGTCTGAGAGTAACGCAATTTCAATTCTCTGTGTTTATGTGCTGTACATGTGGAAGAATTGACAATAAAGCAGACTTGACTTGACTTGACTTGACTTCAACAGTGTTTGAGTTAGCATGTTGCTAAGCTAACAGCAATTCTCCAAACAGCATGAAAACACACAAGTCTTAATAAACATAATATATCTGTAACTACACTGAACTATTTTTAACAATATGTTTCAATACTGAA